CTCTGACCACACCCTGTCTTCTGACCACGCCCTGTCCTCTGACCACGCCCTGTCTTCTGACCACGCCCTGTCCTGACTACACCTTGTCTTCTGACCACGCCTTGTCCTCTGACCATGCCCTGTCATCTGACCACGCCCTGACCTCTGACCACGCCCTGTCCTGACTACACCTTGTCCTCTGATCACGCCCTGTCCTCTGACCACGCCTTGTCATCTGACCACACCCTGTCCTCTGACCACGCCCTGTCCTCTGGATTCATAACGATGTCTTTAGGCCTCTTCTTCATGGCACTACACAGAAAGACAGACTGTCTCCTTTCTTAATTCTTTCATTTGGCTGCTGAACCTTGATGGCAGCTCTGAAGTTTTCCTGCAGCTTCACTCGATCCCGACTCGAATCTCAGTGAGTTTGTTGTTGTGCACGTTCATTTATGTGATCGTGTGTGTGAATCTGGGGGCTCACAAACTGAACCGGCTCTCTGGGATGAATAAAGTCTGAATCTGAATTCACTCCTTGGTTGTTTGATTTATCAGGAGTCCTGAATAAAAACCCACCTGGTCGTCTCCGGCAGCATGGTCTCCATGGCAACGGTCACCTCTATCCAGAGCATCCAGCAGGTTGGCCGGTTTCCTCCGACTCACCTGAACCTCGGACTCGTAGTCGATACAGATTTTAGCGATCCCGCTGGCGCCACCGTTTTCATCTAAACACAAAGAGGTGAAGGCGGGACGCTGGTTTAGACTTCACATGAACGTTTGTTATTCGGCTGCTACAGTTTTAGATAAATATGCAAAAAAACACGCAAGAACTCGACGACGATGTGAATTAGTTGAAGTCCCGTTGGGACCTCCAGCTCAGACTTCACAGCAGAACCACCAGTCAGAGTTTAAACGGGTCAGAGTTGGACCTTACAGGACAGAACCGCTGTTTCCACATCTTTAACACGATCAGTCTGGTTCGTCTTATTTCACACAGGTTCAACTTTACGTTTCTAACGTTCTAAACACATGGTTCATGGGCAGGAGTTAAAAACATCCAGAAACGTTGACCACAGTTCTCCAACATCATCACAGAGTCATGGCTGTTAAAACATGAGGTTTTCAATATTAAATGATCGTTTGGGGGTTCGTGTGACTCCAGGTTCATCAGGGTTTTTGTAAAAATTGTTAGAAACAGCAAATATTCCTCGTCAACTAAATTTGTTGATGATTTACAGAAATTCTTTTGAACATCTCAGCACAGTTCATCCGAGGACGATATGAGCTCCAACTTTAAAGCTCTCCTGTCGACTCTCACCTCCACCGCTCTTAGTCGCCATTTCCATTCAGAACGTTCCTTTTCCCTTACAGCAGCTCTGCTTCCACCGTTCTCCGACTTCATTTAAATCAGACGCTTATTTTACCGACTTCACATCCGTCAAACTGAGACTTATTTTGCAGACTTTCGGCGCTGAATGGAGCCATTTATCTAAGTTGTTGTTTTATTATTATTATTCTTAAAAGCCACCAGCCTGACACTCGGGTGGACATCAGTAAGAAAATGAGCAGCATGAAGAGAAATCACAACTTGTGAACGGTCTCTTTCCTCCCACACTGACCGACTCGTCTCCTCTTCAGGCTCGGAAGGTGAACGTCCAGGACTGTGGCCTTCTGGGCGTAGCAGCTTCCAGAGGAGGAGCAGGAGGAGAAGCTGGAGGCTTCAGCTAAACACTCGGCTGCAGAGGCTTCGGCTGCAGAGGCTTCGGCTGCTGGCGTCTTTACGGCCACGGGCCTCTGGAGCGTTCAAAAACAAACTGTTTTATCTGAAATGAGCAGTAAGCTGCGAGAAGAACGATGAAAACTTACTATTTTCTGAGCGACCCTGAAGAACTGCGAGACGTCACGAACCACGTTCCCAAAGCCGTCGTACAGGCGCACGTAAGGCCTGACCCAGGACGGGAGGTTCGCCCGAGCGTCAGAGCTTTTAAATCTGTGGAGAAAAAACGACGATCAGCTTTGAGTTAAAGCTGAACACTCATTTAAACTGACAAACATTACTGGGTCATGATGTTGGACAGAAGCAGTCCAACATCCAGACGGCTGACAGAACATCAGCCGCAGCAGGAAGTCAAACTGAAACTGAACAGGAAACGCTGAGTTCCAGTGGGGAGGAGTTGCACCGCAGAACAACGGAGGTGGTTTTTGTTTTGTCGTCCGAGGCGGCGCAGAGTGACGGATCCTGCAGAGGAGGGAGACGTTTTATCCATCACCAGGTGCAGAGGTGGAGCCAGGGAGTGGCCAGTGGTGGCCCTGGCCCCCACAGAGCAATCTTCAGCCACCCCAATCATTTTAGGAAACTATTTTTAAGCAAAGTTTCCTCACATGATTGGCAGTTTCCTCTGGAAAAAACTGGAACTGGAAAAGCTCAGGACACAGGAAGACGCGTCGGTAAAACCCCCGGTGATGCTGCGTTAGACGTGTCCCACCTCTGATCACACAGGAAGATGGCTCCGTAGTCCTCCTTGTGGCGGATCACTCTGCCGATGGCCTGGTTCACGGCTCTGAACGCCTGCTGCCGGTACCACTCCTGCCCCGACAGAAACTGAGAGGAAGAAACACAAACAGCTGTCGTTGATGGAAGCAGCCGAGCATCATCAGTTAAAATAAAACTGCTCCCACTCACCTTCATCCCAGGAGCTTTCCTTCGGCACATTTCATCCAAGAACTGCATCTTCAGGACGACTCGGGGGTCCAGTTTGGGAGGAAATGGAAGGCCGGTGATGATGACGCCTCGACCGAAGGTGTCGGCGAAATCCAAACCCTCGCTGGCCTGACGAGACGAGACAGAACCGAGTATGGATTAAAATGATGCTGACGTGACGAGCAGACGGATCCGGACGTTCTTCACCGAAGGCATCGGCTGCGTCGATCACCGGACCGCTACAACTCGAGGAATGCTTGTCGCCCGCCGCTGTTCACTGTAGTTTTCTAATCTGGACGTTTAGGTCGAACCTCGAAAACAGAGCGATCTGTTGGCTCAGAGTACGTGTTGAGGATGACCCTCAGCTACTACCACATCTGTCTTCAGCTCAGTGTTTATAAAAATGACTCACTTTCTGTTCCTAAGATCAGATGGCTGTGGCGGCCATCTTGAACTGGGCAGGCATCAAAAGTTAATCAGCTGTAGGTTCACGTTCCAACTGTCATTTCCTGAAAGTTTCATTAAAAGCCACAGAGTTCATGAGATATTTTGCTAACAAAGTTGACTCCACTAGGTAATGGCAAAGTTTTAGCCTTCAGAGTTTGTGCTGTGTATTACTCTCAGCTACTACCCCACCAGATTTTCACCAATTCTTGATCTCCTAACGCTCAGACCTGATGGACGCTACACGTTAGCGCGTGGCTCGGTCCTGAAGCTGTTGTGTGACCAGAACCGACGCCGTTATTGTCCGACGTGGTTGTTTGGTCCAGCGTTTAATTCATCCTCTTCCTGCCTGCTCGGGTGTAAATTACACTTCTGGAGCTGATGAACTAAACGTGAAACAACATGACAAAAATAAAAAGACATAACTGGAAAATGTTCAGCAGCTGAAGACGAGTGGAGCTCTGAGGTTTAAGCTGCACGTTGGCACCGACATCATCAGACGCTTGATCCTCGCAGTCAGAGGAAACGAGACCCGACTGTTGAGACCGACGTCAAACATTCAACCTTTGTTTCTGCAGGTTAGTCTCGCTGAGCCTCGAGGACTCATTTACAAGAGAGACCTGGTTTAAACAAAAACCATAAATGATGTGCAGACAACAACAAACAATCATAAAAGCAAATAAAATGAAAAATAAAAGAAATTATATAAAACAAACACCGCTACATTATGAAGCGATGTAAAATACTAAAAACAGGAACAGGTCTGGATAATCTGCCCGGTGTCAGCCTCAACCTCTCGTACTCATAAAAACACCCCGGTACTTTGGACCGACAACACTTTTATGCTTGGTGATGTCATTTCCTCTTCCACTTTGTAAATGACGACAAAAACTACAAAACGTCCATAATTTAGGGACATTTCAAGATAAACTCGGGTGATATAAACTAGAGCTCCAACCAATATGGAAATTTTGGCTATCGCCGATACCGAAGCTGAAACGTTGTGGCTTTGTCCGCCCGCAAGAATCTAAGTAAGTCCTGTTTTAAACAAAGAACACAGTTGTCTGGACCTCCTCTGTGTTCTTTGTTAAAATCAGGTCTCTCTTGTAAACGAGTCCTCGAGGCTCAGTGAGACTAAACTGTAGAAATAAAGGTTGAACGAAAAGTTCACAGCAAAATTTAAACCGTTTTAACTCTTGAAGTCTTGAAACAATCTTGAAACAGTCTTGAAACAGTCTTGAAACAGTGTTGAAACAGTCTTGAAACAGCTTGAAACAGTCTTGAAACAGCTTGAAACAGTCTTGAAACAGGCTTGAAACAGTCTTGAAACAGTCTTGAAACAGTCTTGAAAAAGTCTTGAAAAAGTCTTGAAAAAGTCTTGAACCAGTCTTGAAACAGTCTTGAAACAAACAGTCTTGAAACAGTCTTGAAACAAACAGTCTTGAAACAGTCTTGAAACAGTCTTGAAATAGTCTTGAAACAATCTTGAAACAGTCTTGAAACAGTCTTGAAAGTGTTGAAACAGTGTTGAAACAGTGTTGAAACAGCTTGAAACAGTGTTGAAACAGCTTGAAACAGTCTTGAAACAGTGTTGAAACAGTGTTGAAACAGTCTTGAAACAGCTTGAAACAGTCTTGAAACAGCTTGAAACAGTCTTGAAACAGTCTTGAAACAGCTTGAAACAGTCTTGAAACAGTCTTGAAACAGTCTTGAAACAGTCTTGAAACAGTCTTGAAACAGTCTTGAAACAGTGTTCCCAACGTGCGTTTATATTTTATATCCTCCACTATTCACCATAAAGTTATCAAGTGTGTTACAAAAATATAAATTAAACAAAGAAGCACTTTCATGTTCGTTGTTTCAACAGCCACGTACGGTGAAGGTCTAATTATTATTGATCGCAGCAGAGTTTAGTTTTCTTTGCAGAGAAGATTTCAGAGAAATAATACATTTCATTGAGGACGACAAAGATATCGTTACTAACACTGATATATATTTATTGCTACGTTAAAATTTATTGTTCTGGATAAAGTTTTACAGGCAACAGCCTATGCTAGGTTATCTAAACGTTAGCTTGCTAACTTGAGAGGCACGTAGTTGATGACAAGCAGGTTGGAGGATTGAAGAGAATTTATTATTGTTGATTTGTTTTACAGATCAGTTCAAATAAACTCACCAGGCTCTATTCAGCTAAATACACAATACAGTATTGCTCGCTGCTTTGACTGTGCTGAAAGTGAAACTTAAGTGAACGTCAATGACTTGAAAGTAGTCTGCTTGTGCCCTCTGCTGGATACATCGTACAATTACACCTTTTGTCAGTAAGGACACGGCTGGTTCCCAGTGGTCATAGTAGCATCTAACAAACCAATTATCACGGATACCGAAATGTCCCCAAACGCCGATATCAGCCTAAAAATATCGGCGCTACTGATATATCAGTCGGGCTCTAATATTAGGACAGCAGACTGTTTGCTGTTGTCTTAATAAAATAAATGTTTCTAAAGTCATTGTGTAACGTTAAAGAAGTAAAGAGGAGGGGGCGTTCCAAAGACACCATCTTATCACAAGCAGAACTGGTTTGTTCCACTTTGGAGTAAGCTGTTTGGGGGAAGAATCAGTTTTGTGGTGTGTGTTTTCTCGACTGATGAAGCCTTCTGGATGGAAGTTGAAATGTTTCAGCACAAAAAAAGAAGCTGTCCAGATGACCTGACTGAAAATTGTTGGATTGTATACCTGGATTATTGAGCATGGACCTTTCTGGTTAAAGAAGTAACTCACTAAATAATCTGGATCAGTACTCGGTATCAGCAAGTACCAAAACTCAAGTACTTGTACTTTTTCTGAGAGAACTATAGTAACAGGACATCCCTAGTTCAGACTGTCGTTACAAATAACTCAGATAACGGTTGAATATGGACCAAAATAAATAAATAAATCAGATTTGAGCTGCTTCCGTGTGCAGAGTGAGTGTAGTCGGACACTTTGACATTCAGAAACCCCCAGAAGTGTTTTATTAAAAGCTGCTATAACGTTGATAAACGTTGAAGCTTCCTAATAACTGTTAAAAAGTCACACGCGTGTTCTGACCCAGGTGACGGCTGCGTTTATCCACTTTACTAATCATATCGACGCACTTTAAGGTTAAAATGAGTCGAGTCCAGCACTTTGAAAACGGCACATTTAAAATGAAGCGTTTCTCTTCACGCAGTCGTTCGACTCGTGCGTTCAGAAGTTCACGTGTGACGATGAAGATCTGAGACACACACACACACACACACACACACAGCGAAGCCTCACCTTCCCTCGACACACGGCGAAGAAGCTCCCTCCTTTCGACGTCGGGTCGGTAACTTTACTGTAAAAACCGTCCATGACCTGAGGACGAGCGCAGAAACAGGATCAGAACCGCAGAGATAAAACGAAACAAACTGGCCTTTAAAAAATGATTAAAATAAAAATGAATGAACACAGAACGTATATAAAGAGTGGGAAAACAAAGAAGTGTTTTAATCATCTGTTTAAATTACAGTTGAAACCAGAAGTTTACATACACCAACTGTTTAAAAAGACACGTGCACTTTTTTCACTGACGTGAAATCAGACGAAACTTTTCTTGTTTTTGTTCAGTGAAGATTAATAACATTTTATTTATTTGTGAAATACCAGAATAATGAGTGAGAATTTTTATGACTTTCTTCAAAGTCAAAATGTTTCCCAGCTGATTTTCTTATTTAACAAAATTAAATTACTTTTAGTGGCGCGCCATCGTTCCATCTAACTTTAATTTGAGATAAATCGTACAAGTTAAAATTAAACCTCGTTAAAGCTTCCCTTCCCTTTGGGTTCCACAAACATGGGCTTTATGTTCTCAATGCGATTGGCGTGACCGTTGGCCTGGAGAGAAAAACAAACAACAACATTTGTTCTTAATTTTCAAACATTCAGAAACACGAGATCATTAATTTCATAAAGTTCAAAGTCCAACGTGAAGATCGACTCACTCTCCAGAACTCCAGAGTCTTCTCCATCAAAGGGAAGGAAGGAAAAAACACCAGGAGGCCGTGAGGAACCACACGGCTCAGGTTGGCTGAGGAGAAACAACAAACAAACAAACAAACAAACCACGTGACTCAGGTTGGCTGAGGAGAAACAAACAAATAAACAAATAAACAAACCACACAGCTCAGGTTGGCTGAGGAGAAACAAACAAACAAACAAACCACGTGACTCAGGTTGGCTGAGGAGAAACAAACAAACAAACAAATAAACAAACAAACAAACCACGTGACTCAGGTTGGCTGAGGAGAAAACAACAAATAAACAAATAAACAAACCACATGGCTCAGGTTGGCTGAGGAGAAACAAACAAATAAACAAACAAACAAACAAACAAACCACACGGCTCAGGTTGGCTGAGGAGAAACAAACAAACAAACAAACCACGTGACTCAGGTTGGCTGAGGAGAAACAAACAAATAAACAAACAAACAAACAAACCACACGGCTCAGGTTGGCTGAGGAGAAACAAACAAATAAACAAACAAACCACACAGCTCAGGTTGGCTGAGGAGAAACAAACAAATAAACAAACAAACAAACCACGTGACTCAGGTTGGCTGAGGAGAAACAAACAAACAAACAAATAAACAAACAAACAAACCACACAGCTCAGGTTGGCTGAGGAGAAACAAACAAACAAACAAACAAAAATAAACAAACCACACGGCTCAGGTTGGCTGAGGAGAAAACAAACAAACAAATAAATAAACAACATGACTCAGGTTGGCTGAGGAGAAAACAAACAAACAAAAATAAACAAACCAAACGGCTCAGGTTGGCTGAGGAGATACAAACAAATAAACAAACAAATAAACCACACGGCTCAGGTCGGCTGAGGAGTGAGTAAATAAATAAATAAATAAATAAATAAATAAGACAGAAGTTCAGATCAAACATCTGTCAGCTTCCACAAACTAAACAAACATCCATAAAAATAAACTATAAATTTAACTTCTAAACATTTATAACTTGTTTTTGGAAACTTTTGAAATAAACATGAACAAAAGAAAAGATAAATATTTAGTTAAAATCTGAATAACGGGTTTAATAAAAGGCTCTAAATTAACTTAAACAGGTGAAGAAATTAATTTGATTAAAAAAACTCAGAAATCCCAAAAATTTAGAAAATAATGAAAAAGAAACAAACAACAAGAAACAGCATTAACACAACAGAAATATTCTCAAACAGCCGCAACATTTTACAATATTTAAAAAATAAATCTTTCTTTGAGGCGTCGCACGTTTATCAACAACAACAATCCTGCCAGGAAGAAAACAAAAATAAACAAGTTTATTTAATATTAACTCACCAACAGTGTTGCCTAAAGACGCCATGTTCTCAGGAATAAACCTGCAGACAAACAAACACATCAGTAAACAAACACATCAGTAAACAAACACATCAGTAAACAAATAGAAAGAATGGAAAAATCAACAACAAATGATCAAAGTAACAAACAAACGACTAATAAACAAAATTTAACGAACAAATAAACAAACAACTTAAAAAAACAAATGAAAGTCAAAGGAAACCAAATGATCAAACTAATGAACAATTAATGAAAATTAATCAAACTAATAAACAAACAAATAACTGAACTCCGATGACAAACAGTCGAATAAACAAAAAGGAACTAGTGAAGAACAAAAGAACACGAAGGAGTAAACAAACAAACAACAGTGAGAATAAAGGAGTTATTAAAATAAACACATGCTCTTAAATGTATAAAATATAAAATTTTAACTTTTCTTCTCCAAACTAATTAAAAAGTTATTTTAACGTAACGCTTCCTGCTCGAACAAACAACATTAATGCAGTTTGTTTTCCTGTAAACATGTTTCATTTTTCCAGTTCCAGCACCAAACTTCATTCATCAAACCAAGGCTGAAGAAAAGCAACAAACACTTATAATTATACTTTAAATATTGCCCATTCAAATAAAAAACACTTAGTTTAGATGGAACTGCTGCGCTCAGTGTGGCATCTAGATCTTTAGAAAACAACGTTTGTGACGTCAGCGGTGACCGAGCTTCACGACGGAGAACAGCTTCACCTGCGGTCGAACGCTGAACTCAGATGAACTCCGTCTGGACCTCGGTCAACGACGCTCACGAAGATCTGGTCCCGACCGATCACGTGACCGTTCTCCAGGAGCACGGGGAATTTTCTGAAGAAAAAACATCCCACAGTCGTTTGAAGACGCGGCCCATTACGAAGTTAAACAAGTGAGACGGACGAAGTTTCTGATGGCGTCTAAAGGTCAATCAAGGTCACAAATAAAGGTCAAACGTTAGACAAGCTTGTCTGGATCATAGCTTCACATCTACTCAAGCTGGTTAATTGAAACTTCATGTGCCTCGTTTCCAGACGGAGTGTCGTGCACACTTTTCATAAACCCGGCTCTGAAGTCAAGGTCACAAATCAAGGTCAACCTTAAAACAAGGTCTTTATTTCCTGGGCTATAACCCACGATCCACTAAAGATAATTTAACAAAACTCCAAACAAATTTGTACCACCACGCGACGCCGTGTCGCATACGCTCCAGCTTCAAGGTCAAGGTCACAAATAAAGGTCAAGCATTACCCAGGATCTGTTCTCGTCCCGGCACGTGCTACAGATTGTTGTTTAAAAGTTGCTGTGCCGCCTGCTGCTGACCAGAGAACAGAAATCACCACAAGAAGCGAAGAAATTTGATTTAAGAACGACAGAACTGAGATTTTCTTGTTTTCACGTTAAAAAAACAACAAACTTAGACCAAAACAGAAAAGCACCGAGTTGAGTTTTTATATAAAACACTGATGACCTCTGGTGGCTTTAACCCTCCTGCTGCCCTAGGGTCAAAATAAGAGTTCAAAGACTGGACTTGCTGGTGGCTTTGAGCCGAGGGCCTGAACTTGTTTCGGTTAATATTTCTGCGAGCAACAGCGACTTACATCCTCATCTCTGAGGTGAAGGAGGACAGAGGTGAGAGGGTCCCACTGGTGAGAACGATGCAGCGGACGCCCTGATTCAGAAGATCCTGCATGCTGAAGCCCGGAGAGAAGCACCAGTAGCTCAGGATGTTTCCTGCAGCGCCAACAGAAAACAGCTGAAAATGGACTCGAAGCAGCTTCAATCGAGCCGCATGTTAGACACGACAGAAAAATAGAACTGGGTCGGTTCTTCTCTCCTCGGGGGAAATGTTACTTTTGAAACGGAGCCTTCAGGTGAACTTTGAGAGTTCAAGTCATCCTCACCTTGTTTCTTGGATGAAGACGACGCCCACAGATCGGTGGTCGGTTTCTTCTTGTAAGAGCTGGTGTCACGATGGATGTGAACCTGGAAACAACAAGCGACTGGTGTAAGAATGAAATTATTTTAATTCACGCAGGTCGAAGGTTCATTACAGCCGTTAATGGTTCATGAAAACAGCTGTTTGTTGAAACGTCTGGTCCATAAACGACGCAGCAGCACAACTGGTTTCATCCCCTCTGGACTGGTTTGAGTTCTTTATCATCAGGACGCGTGAAGCCGTCTGCTGGTTTCATCACATACGTTTTAACCAAACGGTATTTTAAAACAAACCGAATTATAATTTAACTTGATCGACCAAGTCTGGACCGAGCCAGTTTAAATCATGAGACAAAACAAATAAAAATAAAAAAGAAATAAGCAGAGAGAGAGAGACAAACCTTAAAGTGAGTCGTGTTGAACTCCATCTGCTTCTGTCGCTCCGGTTCTGGAGGTTCTCCACAGAACACCAGCTGAAACATCAAAACACAAACAGCCCCCGACATCAGCCGCAACACAGCTTCAGCTTAAACCGACGCACAGAAACGTTTCTAAAAATAATGACTCGTACAGCACTGCTCAGTTTTACTTTTAGATTTAGACCAAACAACAAAACAAAAGATGTAAACATCTGATCCAGAAAACAAAGAGTCTTATTTTCAGTTAAAAAACTATTTTAGACACTTTTCTGTGATCAGTTATTTATAAAGCCAGAGGCAGAATGACAGAGGAGGAACGCTGTTTCTTGAAGGGAAATGGTGCCAACCACCAAAGCCTCATACCCCCCCCCCCCCCCCCACGAACACGAAAATAAAAACTTTGGACCCGGACGATTCACGTAAACGACAAACGGCGAATTTCACCAAAAAGCGACTAGTTTGCACGTACGAGAAACGTAGGAATGAAATGGTGACGCTCTCCCTTCTGAGGCGCCTCGCGACCAAACCAGAACTCGCCCAGCCAAGTCAAACAGACTGGTGGAAGCCGACAAAGATTCCTACGTACCGATAAATAATATACGAGCGCATCTTAAAAGATGTGGTGGTAGGAAGCGTGCGAAGGCTTTCAGAGCTGATTTCACGGAGCTCTCCACTCGGGGTCACGTGACCTCAGAGCTGCAGTTTCAGGATAAGTGTTCCGTTACGTGTTTCACACGGAGAAATCAGCATCTCCGTTCGCAAATTACGTTGCCATGGTAACTCGAAACGCCATTAAAAGTAACAGCACACGTCACGGCACCGAGCCGGTCGTTTTGATACATTTGTGGGGTACACGTTGCAGTTTGGGCCGCGTCATAGTTGACGTAGACAAGAAGAAACCTAGTTGGGTGGATAATAATAGGTGCTGCTTTTTAAAAGGCAGTCCCCGACTAGATCACATTTCTGTATTTAAAGTGGATTTTATAAACAAATAAATTAAAACATGACACCACACTTTAGTGGATTAAAAAATCAAAGTTTCTTCTAAAGAATTGTCACATCGGAGCATCGATGACACCAAACATCTTGTATGTTTTTTTATTTTTTTTTATTTTAGCGTCTAGTTTAGTTATCCTGGGCCTTTGATGCGTACATCACTTGGACCTTTTTAATTTTGGCTAAATCAAACAGAGTTAAAGTCAAAGTGAGAGGCTTCTGTAGGGAAACTGCAGCGAGATGAAACTGAAGAACCTCTTTTAAAGTCTTCTGTTCACCCAAACGTCCTTCTGGACTCAACATCAACCAGGAGCACCTTCGTTTCACATCGCCAGGTGGAGTACCTGGATAATGTCAGCCAGCTTCTGCAGTCCGCTCGTACTGAGGAACACTCCTGGTTCTGATGAAGAGCGTGCACATCGTTTGTTACGTAAAATAAAAACAGAAAGAAACGGAAGAAGAACAATAAAAACCAAACCGACGTCCAGCTAAGTGCAGGATGATCTGCTCCAGAGCGTCGTACACCGCCGTCTTGGTTTGGTACGTCAGGTGGGCTCTCTCCAGCAGCTCGTAGATGAAGCTGAAACAGACAGGAAATGGCGTTTGAATCGACAGACAGGAAGTGGCGTTTGAATCGACAGACAGGAAGTGGCGTTTGATCAACGCTCCGGGGTCGGTCAAAAGAAGAATCTGTCGTTCGGTTTCAGCAGCAGCGTTGGAACGTTTCTTTGACGCTCAAAACGTGACCAGAAAAAAAATCTGCATTCATCAGCTGATTCGAGCGGTGCGTCGATGTCCCCCGTCGCCGAGCGGTTTGAATAACGGTTGTGGTTTTCTAGATGTTTTTCTGGACTGGATTTAAGCAGGAAGTGTGGGTAAACCTAAATGTTTGTGGGTCAAGATGTTCCAGAGGGTAGGAGTTAAAACTGAAGGAGTTTTTGTTTTGTTGGACCGACGCAGCGCAGAGTGACGCAGTCTTATCCACAACCTGGTGTGGAGCCAAGGGGTGGCAGAAGGTGGCCGTGGCCCCCATAGATTACTGTAATTTCCGGTCTATAAAACGCTACTTTTTCCACAGGCTTTGAACCCGCGGCTTATACGATGCTGCGGTTAATTTATGGATTTATTTTTTGACGAGCTAACGAGCTTCATGCTGCTAAAACATTTAGCTTCGTCACAGCCGGGCGCTCACATAGCTGTCCAATACACGTCTCTCTTGGGGGATGGGGGAACCTCGTGACTCAGTGAGACCACCTGTATAAATAAAAGGTTAAAAAAATCTGAACAATGAAATTAATGAACAGGTCACAGTCGAATCAATGAAAGAGAGCGAGCAACTTTATGACAATATGACAGAACTTTTGTTCTGCGGAGCACAAGTTTCCAGCAGGAGGAAGATGAAGATGGCGATCAACAACTTCCTGGTAGGTTCATGTATTTTTTATTTATTTTAACCAGCAGTGTGTACGTTACTGATACATATTTAATTAAAAGTTTAAAACATCTTACTTTGTAAATATCTCATATTACAACGTGAACACCTGCGGTTTATAAAGCACTGCCTCTATATGTACAATTATTATATTTTTTATTTAATGTACGTGGCTTAAATTCGGGTGCGCTCTATAGTCTGGAAATTATGGTAATCTTCAGCCACATGGACGGCGACATACCATAATATTAACTGTATGAGAACAGGCGTATTAAAACATTTGTAATGGCATATTTTTACCATAAATCTTTACAATAACTATAGAAACCATAAAGTAAAACAAATGGTTTCAGTCAAGGACCGTTAAACTGTCATCACTGTATTTTAGGGTAATGAGTACATTTTGTGTACTTCAGTAATATTTCGGATACTTTGTGGGTCCGAAGCTGAAAAGTTTGGAACTGACTTGATAAAGTGCACGACTACTAAACTATTTAACAGTTCAGTTTTAATAATCACCCTAAGAAATAAATAAATAAATACAGACGTAATGTCTGATGAATACGGCTGTGAAAAAGTTTTAATCCAACTCTTCTTTCTCCACATTTTCCCCCCAAGCATCTGATGTTTACTTCATCTTTTAAAGTTTTCTTAAGCGACGGTTTTTCTTCAGTTTTTTCTCCTGAAGAACGTTGATCAACGCGCCACGTTCTTTAAAAAGAAAATACAAGTTTGATGGAGCTCTGTGAGACGCACGCCGCAGCAGCGGCTGTGAGCAGCCGAAACAAAACGCCCTCCATGTCCCCGACATCGTCACCTACATCCCGGGCTTCGTGACGCCTCTGTCGCTCGGAACATCGTAGGAATCGACGGCAGCTTCCAGGTCCAGCAGGATCTCTGTTGAAGGTAAGAACAGCCGAGCTGAGGTCCCCACAGTTACTCTAACTCGTGCTCTTTTGCAACAATACTCACGTTTGATTTTAGCAACAGTGGCTAAGTCCAGTTTTAAACCTGAACAAGGAAACAGAAATAAAATGAGCATACCTAAAAATACAATTATTTTTTATTTCACTCAAACGTGGTCAAGACATTCAGCTGCCTCGACATTTAGACACTCCTCACATTATTTTATGTTTTATTTAACCTTGATGTTCTTGAAATGCGTCTGAAATAAAGTCTGACCAGAGCCGAGGGATTCTACGTTGAAGTCTTCGGCGACGCCGCGGTGGACTTCTTTCGCCTGCTCCACCAGGAGCCGGTCCACGGCGGAGATGGCCGAAGCCACGTCGTAGGGCGTCAGGTCAAAGGACGTGGACTCCTCGCACGTCCTCTCCTGCGGAGGACAGAAAAGCGCAGCGTCCACTTTGTCCCAGAAACCGAGTCACCCGACTGTTTCCGTCAGTCTGGTGACTCGTCGCCATGTTTTCAGCTTCGATCCACACCACATGACCCCCTGACCTGGTAAAGTGGTGAAAACTGAGCAGCTGCAGCAACTCTTCAAACAAAGGCTGTTCAACTGGCTCGGTTCGGTTCATTTTAAATAAAACTAGATTTTAAATCATAAAACAAACTAAATGCTGCTGGGTGTCCGGCCCCTGAGCAGTTTAGCTGAACAGCTCTGCCTCAGTGATTTTGTACGGCCCACAAAGTTTGTGTTTTTGAAACCATTAGTGAAAAGGCCAGACTTCAGGGCCAGACTTCAGGGGTATCTGAGGCAGGCTTGAAACACAAGAGTCAGGGTGGCTTCTGGGTAATACCAGATGGCTAGGCCTCAGACTGACGAAGCCTCTTGGATGAGGGGCGAAACGTTTCTTTTTAACAAAAAAAACGAAGTCCAGATGACATGATTCAACCTTTTTTGTTGTTATATACCTGGATGACTGAGAAAACAAACTTTGTATTATTGGATGCAGTTATTGCACAAAGGATTTTTAAATACTAGCTCAGTAATGGAGTAAGTTTAAATTATTGGCAAAAGGTTAGGTTTAGAGTAAACCCAGAGTTGTTCAACAGCGTCTTGGTGCACTCGATGTTCAGAAACGGTCCGACTCTGGTTTTTCTCTGCGGACGCCTCGGTGAATACCGGAGTACCGGAGCGCTAACGTAACGCATAAACACTCTTCGCTCAAGGTCAAGAAACTCTGAATCACTGAGGCTCAAGGTTTCCCCTCTCAGGGCCAGTTTACTCAGAGTTTATGGATAAACTCAGAGGTGGATCAAAAGGTCCGGGATCAGGTCTTACCACGTTGTGAGCTTCATCAAAGATGACCACCGCTCCGTTCAGCTCGATGTTGTGCGCTCTACGGCTCTGAGGAACGAGAACAGTCCAGAACATTTTCAGAATGGATCCTGACTGATGAATCATTCAGGCTTAAAGAAGGAGCCGAAGCTCAAGGGATGAACCCGAGTAGTGTCGACACAAAACTACGTAAAGAACCGGCTTTAGATACGATTTGTTCCCAGTTCTTTAGCTGACTCGAACACAATGCGCTTTGACAGAAAACACAATTTACGCTCCAGTAAAGTGACTGTCAAAGAGCTGTTAATAATTATTTAGTCTTGTTTTCTGTCTTGCAGTTATTTGGCTGTAGCTTCACCACTACATTAACCAAACACATCTTCAGTTTTTGTGTCCATAAACTCATTTTATGATCTTTATAACGGCAAACAAGCGTTGGAAAATAAAGTTACAGTTGGTCGTCTCCTATTGGTTTAACATCTTACAACAAACTGTTCGCCGATACGTTATGTAACCATTCCACTCTGGGAAAATAAAACGGTTCAAATGAACCATTGAAATCCTAAAATAATCTGACTTTTACGCTGATGATAACTGAATGGGAACTTCCGACCATAACTGTAGGTCCGAACAACTTTTTATTGTTTCAAAATAAAGTTGATGTCTTCAAAACGAGTCACGTCTGGGTCGGCTCACCTTTGGATCCAGCAGGTAGTTGTACGGCATGAAAATGATGTCCGCCTGCTGCTTCAGGGATCGAGTGAGGAAGTACGGACAGGCCCTGCGGTCCAGACGTGGCTCATTTTAACGTCAACGCAAGAAAAGGTATGAAAACAGGAAAACGTTCAGTCTCACCTCTGCTTGATGCCAAATTTCACCAAATCTTCCACGTCGAGGATAGAATTCACTAAATCTCTGTCAGTGCTCCTCTCTGAAAGATGAAAAATAAAACTGAGGGACATTCTTTAACCTTTGTTTATAATGGTTGGCCTCATTGAGCCCCGAGGACTCTTTCATTGGGAGACCTGTTTTAGACAAAGAATGATGACAGCAGTAGACAAACATAAAAAAAGCATAGAAATTTAAAAATAAATGGAAGAAAATGGTATTGAAAAAAAAACAGAACAAAAACAGCTACATGATAAAACGATGTAAAATACTAAAAACAGGAACATGTCTGCGTTGGTTTGTGACATGAACTTAGCAGATGTTTGAAGTCACTTAGAGTTTAAACAGGAGCTTTTGTGTCAACGTTGGTAATATTTTATCTTCTTTAGTGCCTCTTTCATGCGGGGCTCCGCAGGGCTCGATTCTCGGACCACTTCTATTTTCACTGTGTCTGCTCCCTTTGGGGGTCTATCCTGAGGAAACATGGTCTTTGTTTCATTGTTATGCTGATGATTGTCAGATTTATATGCCCTTAAACCCAGTAGTTCCTGCTCCATTCATCCTCTGTTAAAATGTCTTGATGGCACGGATGGCTTCAAATGTAATCATATTTTGTTTTTCTTTAATTACTGCCATTAATTTTTATTGTTCATCACTTTGGTAACAGCTGCTGTTTTTAAATGTGCTTTATAAATTAATTTGACTTGACTATAAAGAAACGCTCCATTGACCTGTTTTAATAAATGAACACAAACAGTTTTGACAACGCAAAGAAAAATAAAAAAGGATGGTTAATTTTTTTAAACTGGCATGCCGTGTGTGGGCGGCACAGTTGGTAGAGCTGCTGCCTCTCAGCGAGCAGGTCCCTGGTTCAAACCCCGGTCCGGGGGCCTTTCTGGGTGGAGTTTGCATGTTCTCTCTGTGCATGTGTGTGTTTTCTCCAGGTACTCCAGTTTCCTCCCACAGACCAAAAACATGCATGTTAGACTGACTGGTAACTCTAAATTGTCCCTAGATGAGAGAGAGTATGTCTCGTTGTCTCTATGTGTCCCTGTGATGGACTGGAGACTTGTCCAGGGTGTCTCCCTCCCCTGGCACAGTGACTGCTGGACATGGGCACCAGTGACCCCCATGACTCAAAAAACAAATAAGCGGGTAAAGGTAATGGATGGATGGCATGCTGTGTTTGCTCTAACTGTTTGTTCTTCTAAATAAAGTCACTTCCTGTTTGATTTTTCAGCGTTCGGTTTAAGATATAAACTGGAAGTGGACCAGTTTACCTTCAACGTTGTTGTAGTAGGGACACGACCTGGTGGAAATTTTAGCTCTGCACATGTGGACCTGGAAAACATGGAGGTAACGAAGAGCTTCTGTCACTTTTATACCCGAACAAAAGACAAAATGAGTCTGAGCAACACTCTGAATCTCACAGAGCAGGAACTGCTGGTGACAAACCAGGAACGCATTTTTGAGAGTAAACAAAATGTTTTGAAACATTCCATGAATGGTTCGAACAAATCACAACACAAATCTCTCAAAAAACAATCGCAGGCACGTCACAAGTGTCTGGAGTCCGTTTAGCTTCTGTTAGGCAGAAGGTGAAAAACGTGAGACGACTTTACGAGGGTTTCATGGCCGATAGAACAAAATCAAACGAACAGAGAGGAAAAATTAGAAAATTCAGTTTATTTATATAGCGCCAAGTTACAACCAAAGTCATCTCAGGGCACTGAACAGAAAATCTGACTTTGCGGGTGTCTTAGGAGCGCAACAAATGCAAATAAAATGAGAATAAATTGCAAACACATTGAGACATAATCAAACACTGTGTGATTTGCACATTCACGTCAGCTCCGTGTGAATTTTAACCCAAATTCTGAGTCAGAAGAACCAATTTAGTTTGATTTTAAGTAAAAATTTGCAAACCGTCTCAGTTTATTTTTGAAGTTAAGTGTTTCCACAGCAAACTGGTTATGCAGTAAAGAGGTAAACAACAAAACAACAACAGAGTAAACCTGGAGGCTATGAGAACTGTTAAATTCAGTCTTGGTGGAGTTACGTAGTTTCTAGTCGTGTGTCTGAGTCAGCATTTAGAAGCTGAACGTACCTTGACGTGGTTGCTCTCCTGACGCATGACTTCCTGGTTTATACAGAGCTGCTCTCTGGAGCCCAACACACACACCTTCGGCCTGATCCAACACAGACACAAGGATGTTCTGACAATGTTTGCGTTGCTTACAGACAGATGATCAGTTATCTTTTTATTTAACAGGAAGCACCTGATATTTATCCTCTTAATTCCTACAGAAAAAGGTAGGAAAAACATGTTTTTTTATGTCTTCTACTTTAATTTTGTTCAGTTTTTGTACTAAAATAAGACAATGTAAAATGTTAAATGCTTTCTAAAAGCAGCCCATAAAGTTTTAAATTCCAATGAGAACAAAATTAAGCTTTACAATGTTCTGGCGTGTTAAATCCTTGCTGTATTTTTATTTATTTTTTTACATTTTTATAGTTTAAGTAGCAACCCTGTCACAATATATCTTTTATTTAAGAAGACAGTTTACCTGTATGAAGTGTTCTTTAACTCACTAATAACCTGTGTGAGCTGAGAGTGCGTCCTGGAAGCGTAGATGATCTTGGGAACATCAGTGTAGTACACTGCAAGACAATTAACAGATCAGCAGCAGAAATGACAAAAGCAGGTGAATTTAGAGCGGTCAGATGTTTTTCTCCACTAATTTTCTCGCTTGTTCTGGTGAAGGAGAAATAATTAAACTAAAGCACACACTTGGTTTGTCACCGTCAGTCGCCGTCGTCCCCCAGGAGGCGAGGGGCGCATTTGGAAACATCTCCTCCCCTTTCAGCCGGTCGGCGATCTTTCGAGCAGAGATGGTGTCCCTGAAGTGCTCCCTCCATGCCAGCGTGGCGCACAGCAGACAGAGAGTTTTACCGGTTCCCGTTGGACTCTCCAGAACCCCATTCTGCCTCTGGAGCAAACAGGAATCAGACAAACCACGTTCACGCCCAATAATCTCCAACAGCAGAATTCTCTTGTTTGTCAAATATATCAAAACACAAGGAGGGAAATGTTTCTCTCAACTTATGCCATTTTGAAAAAATATTTCTTAAATCTCACACTTTTAGCAAAAAATATAACAAAACTTGTTTAGTTAAGTCACAAAACGAAAAGCTAAACGCCTCCTACTGACTCCAAAATAGAAACTGTGAGAAACAGAAACACTAAGACATCAGAAGTTATTGATAATTAACAAGACTGATAGATTTCTAATATCTGACATTTTGATACCAGTTCACGACGTCAGGATCCAGTTCAAAACAATTCAACTCAGTACAAAGAGTATGAATTTTAATATGTATTTAAGCTGACAAAAGTGCAAAGAGAACCGATGTAACATTTTGTAATTAATAATAATAATCTAGTTAGAATAAATAGGAAAGGAGAAAATAAACATTTGTTTTCTACACTAACATGATTTTTCTGCATGTCTTATATTTATTCAGAATCAAGAGGAACCACTCCAGAATAGGACAATTGTATTAGTTTTAGTATTTTATTTATGTGAACTGACTTTTTAAATACATAAACTCAGATCTCTTCCAGTAACTGGAGTCCACAGATCACCTGAAACTCAATATTCACATCCTCACAATTACAAAAGACCAGATAAAACATTTATCACAGCACTTCTAAAAGTTATCTCCCTTAAATTTCCCTAATATGAGTTTAAAAAACAGAATAAATGTGCTCAATAATCTAGTCCAGGTTTGAACAGTTTAGTTTTTAAACTGGACCAGCGGCACAAAAAGAAGTTTATATACATTTATAGTTTTAAGGATTCTGCTTTTAGTTAAGATTAGTCTCGTCCAGGTTTGATCTAAATGTTGCTGTAAACTGGAAGCTAACTTAAAATGAGTCAAACATGCATTTGTTTAGTTAGAACTGATTGACATGGAAACATTAGTAACCATCTACAGACAGCCCAGTTGGCTCTAAGTGTTGGTTATTTTTAAAGTTATTTCTTCGTGTTTTTACCAGAACTCACCTTCTGAAGACATTCCAGCACTTTGGTCATGTAGTCTTTCTGACAGTCATATGGAGGAAAAGGGAAATTCACTGCAACTCCGTTCAGCTCCAGTGAGGGCATCGTCCTCAAGCTAGCAGCGGTTTAAATGTCGCTCTTTGGGTAATTTCTCTCGTTGTTTCTCGTCTTTAAAACATCTCAAACGCGTCCACGAAGTCTAAAGTGTCCGACAACACCAACCATGTAGGATACAACACAAGTTAGAGGTAGAAACAGTCTGAAACAACTTCATGATGGAAGTCAACTTTGTTAGCTTCGCGCCATCTTCTTCTTCGTCGGTTTTCTTCTTCTTCGTGTGTTTAAAGGAGGTTGACAACAACGTTGTGCTCCACCACCTTCCTCCTACTGGTGATCCTGCTCACTACAGCAAATACTCGGGATGAAATTAAATAAAATGGTTACATCACTTTTATGTTAAATTCTAGATCTGTTTAAATAATATCAGTTTAATGATTAATGGCGGTGATTACGGTGACATCATTTACATGAATTACACAACTTTTCAGAAGTTTAAAAATGTAGATCTTACAGAGAATTAAGTCCAATGATAAAAAAAAAAAAATAATTTAATAACACTCAAATGAAGAAAACGTTAAAAAGGAAAACAAATTTTAACTTTTGTTTCAAATACACCCGTTAACAACTAGAGCAGACGTCTCACAGCTTTAAACCAACAAGAACAAAAGAAACAGATGAATGTTCTTAAACGTCTGCTCAGGCTGTAAAGAGCCCAAAGTGTGAAAACAGAACTTTTACTTCTCCGTCAGGAAACTCTTCGGTGTTGAAATGTCTCGTTATTGGTGAACCAACGTCAGTTTCCAAATCTGATGAGTCAGAACTTAGTGACAGATTTGTTCAATGTTCATTTCTCAAGGTGTGTGAAGTGAAAATGCTTAAACATGGGAAGAATTCAACAGCATTTATGCTTTAATTCTTAATTTTGGCACTTTCAGACCCCCATACTTAGTACTCTCTCTTCTGTCGTGCACAGCAGAGTGCCTGTCTTGTTGGTTTTAACCCAGAGTTCAGGTGGAGAGATGTGCTACAAATATCTCAGTGCATTTCATAAAACAGTACAAGCAGATGGTTATGAGCACGGTACTTCCTGCCAGCACGTAAACCAGCGTGTTGGTCCAGAAGGCAAACGTGTAAATGGTCCTGTTGCAGTAAGACGTCACACGACGTGGCTGCTGGGGGGCTGACAGTTTTGTCTTCCTGGTGGTGTTGCTGAGGACCAGAGTTCGAGTCATTTCCCTCAAACTTCGGCTGAGGTTGAGGTTCTGGTTGGTGTCAGGAGCAGGAGGAGCGTAGCTCCAGATGTTGGAGGTGTTCAGGTCAGTGGTGTTTCTGTCAAAGCTGGGTGGATATCTGGAGTAAATCTGGAAACTTCCTGAGGAAAGAAACGAAAAGCTGTTGGTTCTCAGCGACGAGCATTGTTCTGTAGAAACACTCAGAGTTGAGTCCTCACGTCACTGATGGCTGCAGCTTCAACATGCACTGACTGATAACTCAGTTTCTCTCCTCGTATTGTAATATAATTTTATTGTTTACAACATTCCATGAAGCGGAGACTTGTGGCTCAGAACAAAACAAAATGCCATAAAAGATTTAAAAGGCTTTGAACGTTCAATAAAACCAGTGAAACCACTGAAGTGATAAAAACATCTCAGCAGACCGTGCGTGGTTTGAGATGTTTAAAGAGGACGACAGCAGAGGGACCAAGAGACCTTCATTTGTCTCTGTCAGAGGGACGGCAGTCAGAGGTGGGTCAGTGTAAACCTGGATGGTCTGGACCCGTTCCAGAGTTCAATGAAAGGATTTATTATTTTATTTATGAATCAAACAAAAAAATACAAACTATAAAATATTCACATATTCATCCATTCATCATCTTTACCAGCTTCTTCCTCTGAGGGTCATGGGGGGTCACTGGTGCCCATGTCCAGCAGTCACTGTGTGAGAGGCGGGAGACACCTGGACAGGTCTCTAGTCCATCACAGGGACACCTGGACAGGTCTCTAGTCACACCTAGGGACAATTTAGAGTTATCAATCAGTCTAACATACATGTTTTTATTCTGTGGGAGGAAACTGGAGTACCCGGATAAAACCCATGCATGCACGGAGAGAACATGCAAACTCCACCCAAAAAGGCCCCCCGACCGGGATTTGACCCAGCAACCTGCTTGTTGAGAGGCGGCAGCTCTACCAACTGCGCCATCGTGCTGCCGTTCACAAATTCAGTTACAATAAAACATTTGTTAAAGTGCTGTAGTATGACATATACTGAGATATATATGATCCTAAGGTCATTGATTTGACATCAGGTCAAGTTCACTACAGTGCCGATTAAAACTTTAGCTAGTAGGATTTTCCTATTTCTAGCTAGCATTTTGCTGCTATCATTCTGCTTCTTTTAGCTTGTAGCTAGCATTTTGCTGCTATCATTCTGCTTCTTTTA